CCCCCGTTCACGCCCCGTTAGTTAGCGGTACACAACAACACACCATATTATTCAATTCCCAAGATACTCCTCCACCGCCCTACTGTTTTGCAGACATTGAATGTATTTTATTCCTAGGTAAGAGTCCATGCATATGTATATGGTGTATATTTTACCATTATGACTCTGTCTACGAAACTCTGGCCTTGTTGCTTTGCCAACAATTGCTCAAATGTTGATCCATCTTGCTTTGCACTGGTCGCAGTCCACGAGAAGCAGCATCTTAATCTCGTTGTTTGTATGATTCACGCATGTTATTGGAAAATAAATTAACTTAAAATTGACTCGACTAAAGCGCAGCACACGAGCCAGTGTTTTTACAGCAATGAGGGGGACGACTGTTACTTCACTGCCTGAAGTCTGAGCAGAGAAAAGGACTGGTGTCAGAGATGGGGCGTGTGCTGGTGCCTCACAGTCACATCTCATCCAGTCAGTCCACTCATCCAGTCACCACTCACTGCGCGAGACTGACCGAAGAGCCTCCTTTTAACCACTGGCCACAGATACCAAAGCACTCTAAACAACCAATCACAGTGAAGGGGTTTTTGATCCTGTCAATGAAAGTTTCCTGATTCAGCACAGTGGAATTGCTTTCCTGGGTAAGGAGTACTTTAGGAGATAAATACTGCAAAAAAAGGTATCCTTTCCAGAGGCGTGCAGCACACCTGACACTGCTCCCACTGCAGCGCACAGAGGGAAAGATGGAGAGGAGGGTGAAAGAAAAATAGACAGTAGAGAAGGTGGAGGAGACCCCCCATGAACAGAAGTGGCAGAGCTGCACCATAACAGATCCCTGCTTTGTGTATATCGGAGCTCAGGAGGCAGGCATGTGGTGATTGGCCGAGCGCCAGGCCCGTCTGCCCCCACAATCGCACTCCTCCAAACCCCACCACACACACAACCCTCTGCTTTATTTACATAGAGATGAACCTTCCATGAACCCCCAGCTCCTCACAGTCCCCCCTCACGGCACGCAAGACGCAAGGCAAGGCGAAGACCAGCCCTCCCCCAATACCCAGAGGTACTGAAAAAAAAAAATCAGCCCTGACAGCCGCTCCTGATGTATGTGCACTTCCACCCGCCCCGAGCGCCCACTCCACAGCCATCGCCCCTGCATTCAGCCTAAAAGCCTAAAACATGAGTGACCGATAAATACACCTACAAACCCGCAAACTACTGAGCTATCTCCAGTACTTAAAAATACTTAAAAGTATTTATTGCAGGGAGATTTTTAGGATTATTATTTATGAAATGTAGGTTTTTAATTAGGTTTTTAGGTTAGGCTATTTAAATCAGGTTATTTATTTATTTACTTTTTATTCATAGGTATTTAGAGGTATTTATTGCAGGGGACTGTTGGGATTATTTATGGACTGTAGGTTTTTTAATCAGATATTTATTGTTTTATTGTATGTATAGCAGCACTACCACTCTGTCTTTTCCTTCCATTGATGTTTTCACAGTGAGGCAGTAGACCCCTTGCATTTCACTGCATGTTTTACTTTGTATTTCACTGCATGTGACAAATAAAGTACCTTGAACCTTGTTCATGCCGACAACATCCTTTGCATGACTGTAGATGACCCGCTGCTCCACAGGGCGCAGATATAAGGAGAAGTCCTGCCTGATTTTCTCAGAGGAATATAAGCCGAGCAGAAGGTCTTCACTGCACTAGCTGGAGGCCGCGCAGTTAACGACAGTGGAAAAAACAGCCTCACCTGGACCTAATAAATATTCACAGAGACTCTCCAGCATAAACCGACACGAAACAGACCTCCATAACCCTTCACAAGCAATAGGGGCCACAAACAAAACAGCTGCATGATAGTATTGACATTTCCTTTCTTTCAATGCATTAGCTACAAATGCAGTTCTCCTGGCAGAACAACCACTAAAAAAAAATCCATCTACATTTTATGAGGACACATCTAATAAATAGATACAGTAAATCACTTGCAGTGTAACAAATTCAAATGTTTTCTAGTTTATATCATTCATTTATGCAATTTAAACTAGGAGCCACGTTTTACCGAGTATCAACCTTTTCTTAACCAAGACGCCTCACTTTCCAACACTTCTGCAGGTAAGAGCATGTTCCCTCTCCGTCTACCCATGGTTAATTCAAAAACTAATGTGGACAATATTGCTGTAACTCATGCACAGACCATGTTAAGACGATAGCATTAATAGACATTAAATCAGCTTGCAAAGCTGGCTAAATAAATCTGACATAAGTATAATAATATGCTTGCACCACATCAATAGAGCTCACCAGCTACACCCACTAAACCTGGATTGTACGCTGCATTGCCTTCTCCAGTCATTCTATAAAGAACCAGGCAACACCTGCTTTACCCAGACCCTGAATATCAGCTAAGTAAGCGAAATAGGGTACAATAATCACATCATCCACAGACAAATCCGTCCGTCTTCACTGGAACTAAGGCGTACTCACAGACAGCAAAGATCACAATCTAACAGAGTCAGAAACATGTCGCCTGACAAAGTAGGTCAAGTGCGGAGTTCACTTCAGACTGGCTCATTTAAAGCCAGCCAAGCCCCAGACAACCAGACCCCAGGCTGGAGGGTTGACACGGGCCAGTATACCAGCGCAAATGCACTTCTCGCTACTTGCAATCTCTCTGACTACGCTTAACTACCACCAACTGATAAATGTCCAAGCAAAGTGGAACAAAACCATCGATCTTAAAAGTCAAATTGGTCATATGCTGCAGTATCATGAAAATGTGTTTTCATATTTCACCGAAAGCTAGTTCAGCTGGCTTCCCCTCTAAGGCTATTTACACCAGGCATGGAGAGCTCCCACAGCTCACGAGTATTCGGTGCCCATTTTAGTAGATTGCAGGCTTTACACGGCCACTGTTGTCTGTGCAGGTCACACAGGACCAGCAGCGCACAATATTTCTACTGCTCTCACTGGCAGACAATTAAAAAATACATTGCTCATCCTTCATGGTCATATGTGCGTCATATCACTGTATGAGCATAGTCCAAAACTGTACATTTGATATGCAAACTATAGTTACATGTTTATTCTTGTATGTTTGTTTATAATCTGGATCAGCAGCACTGTAACTCCTGAAAGCAATAGTCATCACAAAGATTAGAAAGGTCTGAGATGCCTTGTGATAAATATAAGCTTTCCTATATGGACAAGTCCAGAAATAGGTGGATATGAACATAAATATTTGTATGATAAATTTCAATTTTTTTAACTAAAGCAGAGGCCTGAGTATGCCTCACTGTTCCTAGAAATGGCCATTTCAGACTCTGAGGACTCTTCCATTTATAATGCTGCCCTACCAGTTCAGGCTCTCTGAACTATTAATATTAAACAGAAAAAAAAAATTAATACATACGAAATCTTCCTGACAACACAGACAGGGTTTTTCCTGCAGATTGAATTTTTTTGGCAACGGCAAAAGCCTTACCTGGCAGCAGCAAAGAGAAAAAACAAGAAATAAGGGGAAAAATGTGACAAAGATTTTTTCCCCCATTCTGGCACAGTGCACCCACCTAAAGCAGCAGTCGGCACACATCAGAGCAATATCCATCACCCAGCCCCTGGGAATTCTATACCCTCGCGCTTTCAGGCACTGGTGTGCATTCAATTGCTTTTACTAGTGCAGTGCCCATTCAAACCCAGTCTGTTCGAAAAGGAGCCAATTACTTGGCCTCCGGGATTGCTGCTTGCAGTTTTTTCGAGAACGCCTCGGCTAAGCAACCTGACATTCGACACTGCTTGCTTCCTGGGGCCCTCAGCAATACAGCAACCAAATGTGAAGTCCATTAGACGAAAGGTTGTCAAAAAAAAACTGAAGGACAGACATGCAATACATACAGACAGAAAAAAACTCCTATTTTAGTTAGACTAGTTCAGTGCCCATTCAAAATGTGCAATTTAGGAATGGGCCACCTTTAGGCAGTACTGCTGCTCGCCGCTTTCTAGAGAACTGTTAAGCCAAACAACATGATCACACTAGACACTGCACTTCTTTGGGCCCGAAGCAATGCACAGGTACCAACAGCGAAGTCAATTAGCTGATGAGTTGTCGAGAAAATTAAAGGAGAGACATACATGCATGCATACAGACAGACAAAGACTCCTTCATTTATAGTTAGATACTTCCACTACAAAGTTTTTAGCAGTGAGCAGCAGTTTAAGGTAAAGGTACTTGTCCCTACAGATTACTAGTCCAGAAGAGCACCAAATTTAGCCAACTAGAGGGCTTCACATAGATTTACTATTCAGCACTAGCTAATTACAGGATTTGAATGATGCTACTTTGTCAATTCTGCCCATTTGCTTAATTTTATAAGCTTTTGCAGTAACGATACCATAGCAGAGTCTACTCTCCAAAGAAATGACGTGAGCTAACAGCTAACATAAGTGGAGTCTAATGTTAAGTTTTCCTGCCAGAAAACCAACCATCCTCAATGCAAAACCCTTTACCTGTCCACTGTAGCCAACAGTTGTCTGTTAGAGTTTGTTGGTGAGACTCACATTATAGCCCATCAGTCCATGGTCTTCGATCACAGAAAAGATTGCAATTATTTCAACAAATGAAGCCTATTTACTTTTATTAATCAGTCTTTAAATGCTGCATTAGCAATCACCCTCGACCAAAGGATTTTTTTCAATGGCATTTTAGGGCTCTTTGCTTGACTACTGGAATATTGGCAGCTAGTTGTTGACCTGGTGCTAAATCTGAATTTGGTCAAGCATGAGGAGAGAAGTCTAAATTATGATTTCCTGTGTGAAAAGAGTGAGGATAAAGGAGGAGGAGGATGAGTAGGACAGGCAAAGAAACATATCAGAATAAACCATCACAACGTAGGCAGCGGAACTAAACTATATGGTTCACATTCTTTAAATATATTATCAAAATACAGTATTTAAGAGGGCCAACATGAACATGCAAACTCCACAAAGGGAGGCCCGGGACAGGCGAGGATCAAACCCAGAACCTCCTCATTGCAAGACAGCGGTGTTCACCACTGTGCCACTGTTCCACCAGGCCACAAGAGGAGCTGGCATCAGTGTTGATATCATTGCAACAGTTATTCTCTATCAATGTATCTTGTAAAATAAAAGGGAAGTCATTCAAACATTTTATCAATGTAGCCTACTTCAACTTCCACCATTTCCATAACCAAATAACCAATGATTTAAATCATTATGCACTGTGGTAGGACACTAAAGAGCAGTGGCTTCAATTTCTGTGTAGATGAATTTCCTGATAAAAGCATATGGGAACAGGAAGGGAATATGGGAACATCAACCATCGAGTAACGGTCTGTAAACTGCTGATTTTCCACCCTCCCATTACCCGGGAGTCAGGTTTAAAGAGAAGCACTAATTGTTCAGTCAATTTGTTAAATTACCTGGGAAAAAGATCTGGATTAAGGCCTAGATTTAGTGATCTCTTCCCTAAATAAGTTTTCTGCGATGAATATGGGCCTCTGGGTGGCTAACAGCGAAGACATTTGTCTGCCAGTCCTGCGGTCGGGTGATGGAATCCCAGCCACACCATTACTGGCTATGGCTAGAGGCCCATGTGGGCAAGGCAACAATTGGCGCAGCCTCGCCGGGGATAACAGGAATTGAGCCAGTTCAATTTTGCTAGTCTATCACTCTGTAGTGACCACTTCTGTTCAACCAGGTGCATATTGCTGTACAAACTAAATTATACCCCAACTTCATGATCCTCCATAGGCAGTGCGTAATTGGTGGTGCAGCTGCATTGCGTAAAGAAGCGAGGGCTAGTTGTCACGTGAGTTGGAGAAATCACATGCCACGGCATCTTCCTCCTTAGTCAATAGGAATAGGTTGCTTTGTGTTGGGCTAAACAGTTTGGCAAAAAAAAATTTAAAAGAGAAAAAAAAAAGCTGAATACAGGTCCGTGGTATGCTAAAATTAACATGAATGCTATCAGAATAATTTTAGTAAGTGGTAAGTGGTAAGGTTGTAGATCATAATAACACAATGAAATGCAACAACAAAGCAGCAAGTTGTACCTGATTATTTGCAGCAATTTACTGCTTGATGACAGTAACATCAGTCACAGTAATGTCAGTGAGGCAACATTTATGCGGAAGAATGGAAAAATAAATTCCTTTTCAGAAATGCTCATGTTTTGCCTTTAGCCTCATAGCTTAATTGCCCATCTCATTTTTTAAGGTTTTTAAAAATTTTTATTATTTAAGAGAATGGATTTTATTATTTTTTAAGGTTTTGAGAAAAAAGGAAAAATAGGACCAAGGGTCCTGTAGCTTACCGGCAAGTAGTCTTATAGTGATGATACAAGTTATGAAAATTTGAATTTAAAAAAATATCATTGTCAAGGCCACTAAATAAAAGTTCATATACATTTATTGGACCTCCTGTAATAAAAACACAATCTTAAGCACTGAAGCAGTTTTGGTGATACAAGTCATTGAAAATTCAATATGTCAATTGTGAAATTAAAGGTCAGAGAATGTCAAGTTGTGGTCAGCAAATGGACTTCATATATGACTTTCTAAATGTCTCTATACAAACCTTGGCTCAATCAGTGACCATTTTGGTGATACAAGTCATTGTAATTTCACTGTCAAGTTTGACCCTCAAAAGTCACTGACAGTCAAGTTGAATGTCACCAAATGAAAGTTCATATGTGACTTCCTAGATGTCAGTAACACAAACCAAGGCTCCATCTGTGACCATTTTAGTGATACAAGTCATTGAATTTTCACTAGGTCACATTTGACCTTTGAAGGTCAATACGAAGGTCGCCAAATTAAAGTTCATATATGACTTCCTATGTGTCTCTAATACAAACCTAGACTCAATCTGTGACCGTTTTGGCAATACTAGTCATTGTAATGGTATTATGTCAAGTTTGACCTTCAAAGGTCACCAACAGTCAAGCTGAATGTCACCAAATGAAAGTTCATATGTGACTTCCTAGATGTCAGTAACACAAACCTAGGCTCCATCTGTGACCATTTTAGTGATACAAGTCATTGAATTTTCACTAGGTCACATTTGACCGTTGAAGGTCAATACGAAGGTCGCCAAATTAAAGTTCATATATGACTTCCTATGTGTCTCTAATACAAACCTAGACTCAATCTGTGACCGTTTTGGCAAGACAAGTCATTGTAATTGTATTATGTCAAGTTTGACCTTCAAAGGTCACCAACAGTCACGCTGAATGTCACCAAATGAAAGTTCATATGTGACTTCCTATGTCAGTAACACAAACCTACGCTCCATTTGTGACCTTTTCAGTGACAGAAGTCATTTAATTTTCTCTTGGTCAAGTTTGACCTTCGAAGGTCAATATGAAGGTCACCAAATGAAAGTTCATTCATGACTTCCTATTCGTCTCCAATACAAACCTACACTCAATCTGTAATGATTTTGCTGATATAAGTCATTGACATTTCACTGTATAGTTTGGCCGTTCAAGGTCACTGAAGGTCAATGTTCAAGGTCACCCAATGAAACTTCATACATGACTACCTATATGGTCACAATACAAATCTAAGCTCTATCTGTAATAGTTTTCGTGATAGAAGTCACTGAAATTTCACTATGTGAAGTTTGACCTTCGAAGGTCACCGAGGGTCAAGTTCAAGGCCACCAAATGAAAATTCATGTATCAGTGATGATTCTAGAAAATTTCAGAAGTGGGCCAACTCTCCCCCTGACTTAAAAAAGTGGGCCAATGGGTAAAAAAGTGGGCCAACAGGGTATACCTGGTAAAATTCCATTTATATCAAGTTTTTAAACAGTACCTTGACTGGCTCACTTATTTATATGTACACACATTCAGTTTTTACACCTTATTGACAAAACTAAGACATGAATGACAGTTTGACTTTAAAGTTTCAATAGAAAACCTTCACAGTCTCTGCCAATCATAACAATTATAAAGGAAATGACAAAATAGCGCATAAAATAATAGTTCCTAATGCCTGATTTGGTGCATAGCTTAAAGCCCGCCTCCAAACCGAAATCCTACTGCTAAAGCTGTAAGTACGGATACTTCACCAGGCAGTGAAGCCATTCTCTTCATAGGTGTACGTTGAGCAGCGCGCAGAGACTCACAATTTTACCTAAATTTCGTTTTATTCATTCAAACGAGTTCTGAGCCATGTATCGCTTTTTAAAACCTATTAGCAAGCCTTGTGCTGCTTCAACCTAAAGTGATGCAGAGATGCCAAGTCTCACGCGTTTGGCATGAGTCTCTTGCCTCTTAGTGACATTCACGTACCTGTGCCGTAGTCAGCAATTATTCAATCAACGCGCACAAAAGAAAGTCACTCGCGGAATTTAAGTCATTGTGCATTAAGTTAATCAGTTTCACGTGCATTACGGAGGATGTCCCCACTAGTGACACAGAAATCGATTATGACTCGGGAATTCTCACATTTGTCTTTACCGTGGGATTGAAAGCAATGGAATTGCATAAAGACGTTTCAAATGGTCTTATTTCATTTAAATTTAAACGATCATGAAACACATGCATTGTTTCCAATCCCTGAGTAAAAAGAAGCACGAGAAGTCTGGAGTCGCTTTCCATGTTACTTGTGGTGAGGTCCACCTTTACTCAAGTGAAACTGAAACTTCAATGCACAAGGATTTTAATTCTGCGTGAGAATCTCATTAAAACGCGTTCATTGAATAATTGTGGACTACGTTGAATAAGCAAAAAAAATGCGTGAGACCTACACCGAATGCATGAGACTTGGCATCTCTGGCGATGCCGTAGCTTGCACACCAGAAGCTATGACTATGGCTATGGCTCCAGTGCCCTCCACAAGCACTTCCCCAAACCAGTTCCCTCTCTCTGCTGCCTCAGCCCTACCTCATGCGGTTAGCGACTTGAATGGCGATGCTCCACCCCAGCCAATATTAGCTAGCTACCCAGAGCGTGCATTCAGTGCTTTATGGCGATCATTCAATCCAGCCTGGCATCGTACACGGCCATGGCTGGAATACTCAGTTCAGCAGGATGCATGCTTTTGCTTTCCCTGCAGGAAATATGCTACTGCCGGTGAGAGGGATGCTGTCTTTACCTTGCGTGATTTTACCAACTGGAAAGCAGCACTCGAGCGTGACAGGGGGTTACAGAAACATGCATCCAGCCACAGTCATATACAGGCATATATAGAAGTCTCTTGCTACTGACATTTTGACAACAATCTTTGCAGATTGTTGAATAAATGCACAGAGGTTTGTTATAGAAGATGTTTTCATATCAATCTACGCACTAGAGCAAAGGATTCGCGGCAAATCATAACGTAATGCGTAGTTGCTGGCGCACTGAAATCTTCGTTTAGCGCCAAGTCTGTCAAACTTGCGGGATCCCGCAAATTACGCGTCCTAGAATCATCACTGATGTATGACTTCCTATACATCTCCAATACAAACCGAAACCATCTGTAACCATTTTGCTGATATAAGTCATTGAAATTTCACTATGAAGTTTGGGCATTCAAGGTCACTGAAGGTCAAGTTCAATGTCACCAAATGAAACTTCATACATGACTTCCTATATGTCGGCAATACAAACCTAAGCTCTATCTGTAATAGCTTTGGTGATAGAAGTCATTGAAATTTCACTATGTGAAGTTTGACCTTCGAAGGTCGCCGAAGGTTTAGTTCAAGGCCACCAAATGAAAGTTCATACAAGACTTCATATAAGTGTTCAATGAACATATGTTCCCAATATTCAATATTTTCAAGCCTAGAAACCTTTGAAAATTTTAACATTTTGCTTGACCTCAAGTTTGACCTTTCAAGGTCATCTGAGGTCAACTTTAACACTGCCAAAATATAGGTCACATATTGCTTCCTATATGTCAGTAATACAAACTTAATCCCTAGCTGCAACCATTTAGCTTCCACAGGCGATTTGGCCCATTCTCCATAAGACCTAATGTTAAAGTACAGCGCCCCCACTAGACCCACTTCTGTCGATTCAATCAAAATGGCACTCGCACTGTACATAAAAGGTATCAAG